GAGTTCCATTTCAGTCAAAAGATCTTAGCTAAGTAAGCTGGAGACTCTGTAAATGCTCCAGGCCTCAGTTTCCTTCTGAGACATGTGAGTAGCAGCATCCACATCACAGGATCATTGTGAAGCTGGAGAGAGGAGATGGAGATAAAGCAGAGGGCTTGGGACATGGGATATACTCAATGGATGTGTGGTTCTCAGTCCTTTCTCATTCCCTCCGATAATCTACGTGAACTAACAGTAACATACAACAATAAGAGTATAAAATCATCAGAACTACCCAAACAACAAATCCATATGTGATCAGTAGCAATTATTTTTATACAATAACCACATGTAGATCAATCTTTCCTCTAATACCAAATTTCTCCTAATACATATATAAGATTAATCTTCAAAGAATAGATTTTATCAGTTTAAGGACTCATTCCAAAATTCTTCAAACTCTTAAATTTTCTTGGTAAGATAATAATAAAAATTTTAGCTCCTTAACAGTTTTCATGAAGAAAAAAATATATATTCATAAATATATATACATCTCTATGGCTATCCTACAGCCATCATTTAGTAGGACTGGTAAAAACTCATTTAATGGAAACTAGTTCTGTGTTAACATTTCCTCACCAGTCAACCATTCCCTTTAAATAGGGCAGAAAGTCTTGGGGTGGACAGAGGGAATCTCCTATACTAGGGGCTCGGCTCCTTTACACAGGGCTGAATCCTTATCCTCAGTCAAGGCTTGCACGGTACCCCATTAATGCCCTTTTACATCAGCTTCTCTCTCAGCATGTTTTTTTCTTTTCCTATCTCCACGTTATTTTCCCATGCCAGCAATTTTTCCTGGAATACTTTACTTTCCCACCTTTAGCTAATCAAAACTCCAGCTCACATGCAGTCACCATAGAGCTGTTATAGATCACCATCTCTCGTCTGACCTCACTGCCCACCAACATTGTTTACCGTATGACTTAGTTCATCCTTCACCTTTCATGGTCTCCTCAACTGTATTACACACTCAGGAGCCACACTATATGGAACCTAGCTTAATCTTTTGCACACAGTTGGTATTTAGATGCTGGCTGGCCAGAATACATGAGGTATAACAACTGAAAAATTTTAAGTCCTGCTTGAGAACGAACACTTTGCCTATTTTCAATATTAAGAGACATTTCTGAAAACTCAAGATGAATTAAACTCTTGGCATAACTTTTTCCCCTATAGAACATAATTCTATTTGGAAAGCATTTTGAATAACAATAGAATTGCAGTAAGGTATCTCAGAATTTAAGCAGGTGCTTGATACAGCCAACTACATTAAATAATAACAATGCTTGTACTTTAGACAATAAATTCATTGTATAAGTTGCTCACTGAGTCCCTAATTTGTATAAGGAATCACACTAAGATCTGCTGGAACAAGAGATGAATAAAAAGACTCCCCAAGTCCTTAACAATCAAGACGTTAATAGAAAAGACAGATTTTAAAACATTTTACAAAACAAAAGTTAAATAAGCAATACAATATAGCTAAACTACTAAAAACTTCATGTGATTCATGTGAGTCAGTGGGTTCAGAAACCATCTGTCAAACATAAAATAAAATAACGAAGAAAAGAAGATAACATTTGAGCAAAGCCTTAAAAGACAATAAGGACTTTATAAACCAAGATGGCAGAAGGGTATTCTGGGATGTAGGAACAGAAAGGGCAAGAGGTATCAGCATGAAAATAGATTCTTACCATCTTTAGCTTCTCTCAGTAGGTGATCTCATCTGCTACTTCATGGGAAAAAAGAAAAGGCATTCCTTTCCTATAGCTCAAAGTGGAATGATGTTTGTCTCCCTCTCCCTCCTACCTCAAAAGTGTCCCCATTCCTTCCTGCAGCTAAATTCTCCAAATTGCTCTGTACTCTCTGGCCGCTTGTTTTCTGTCTACTCTTGTTCTGTCATGCACTCTCTTCCTTTGTGACCAAAGAAAAAAAATTTTGGCAGGACTGGGGATTTGAACTTGGCTTCCTGTTTGCAAAGTAGGCACCTACCGCCTGAACCACACCTTCATTCCATTTTGCTCTGGTTATTTTGGAGACGGTCTCATGAACTATTTGCTCAGGCTGCCCTCAAATCACACAACCCTGATCTCAGCCTCCCAAGTAGCTAGGATTATAAGTGTGAGCCACCAGTGCACAGATGTGGCCAAATTTTTTAAAGAATGGTCTATATTTTTTGTCTCTACTTCATCTCTAATTCATTACTCAGCAACATAAATTTGTCTTGTAAATGTTTCACAATGTAGTTTTTGTTCAGTAAAACAAAGAGAAATAAGGATTTGCTTTTTTACTTCATCCTTTCTTTGTTTTGAAATATTTAACCAGTATTTCTTCTTAAAATTTATTTGCGATATTCATGGAACAGAGATGTATAGTCTCTGAAATTTTTCAGGTCTAGAAAGTAAACTACTAAACAGATGAGACATTAAATATTTTTAGCAAACAAGCCATTATTACAAGTGATCCATGAGAACTCTGAACCCTAAACATGCTGTTCTCTCACTACATCTTTTACCAACTTAGAGCTCTGTATAATTCTTCAGATAAGAATAGGTAGGATGAATAGGTACAATTCATCTTCCTATATAAGATTGGGAGGCAGTTTTAAGGCAATTATTTCATACAAGGCAGGTTCCTCAATCCTTTTCAGAAGATCAGAGGAAGGTACAGTTTGGCATCTCAAGACTGCACTGACACAAGCAGACATGTGACAGGGTCCCTGCTCCTGATGGATGCTCTGGTTCCTGGTGGTTTCATTTGCTAAAAGAAAGAATGGCTAAGGTGGTTTCTCCTCTTCTGTACAACAAATAGCTACAACTCCCCATAACTTACTCTGCTCACTTTTCTTGCCTTCAAAACCAAACTTATCAGCACCCATTAACCACATATAATGGTTTTAAAAGCGCAAGGAACAACCCACATGTAATACCCATGTGTTCTCAGGGACAGTGAATGTTATGCACATGATTCTGTAGCTGTTGGGCAAAATGTGGATCTCAGTTCATCTTTTCATTTCCTTTTATAATGAACATTTTAGGTCACTGAACAATCTAATTATCTCCCTTACTCTTTTAAAAGTAAATTTATTCTACACACACATACACACATCTTTTAAAAATGGCTCTCCTAATACAGTCGCTATACTTTGTATACATGTATGAAAACTGAACAATGAAAGCTGGGAAGAGGGGATGAAAGAGAATGATGAAAAGAGAGAATCTAATGAAGATACATTATAAACACATGTATAAATATCACAACGAACCCCCCCATACAACTAATATGCTAATAAAAATGTATGCTAATAAAAAAATAAAATTAATTAATTTAAAAAAATAGCTCTCCTTAAAGTAGACAAAGATCAATATCATACATTTCTGTCCTCCTAAGGATCGATTTGTAGACCTACCAAATGCATTGACTATTATAGAAATTCCATAAACATTTGTCAATAGGCTGATTTATATTTAACAATATTGTTAATATTTCCACAAAAACCACTAAACAAATGTTTTAACTAAAGATGAGAAAAATTCAGGCCTACCTCTAACATTTGTAGGGTTTGGGGTCAGACTACAAAGGGAAGCCCATATTCTATATGTCTGAATATTTAAAAGGTATAGTCAAGTTCAACTATTAAATAAAATATGACTTTACAGTCTGATATTGACAAATATACCTTCAACAACCTGGAAGTACAGGTTCTTAGATTCTTTGAAGTTCTACACCAAGTGTAGCAACATGAAAGGCCATCCCACCCCCTTGTCTTCCTATTCCCCAGCTCTGTCGACACGTTGAGTGGCCTTGCACACCTGTGTGGACATTCCACCTACCTCAAATGTCTACCCTTTTGGCATCCCTGAGCCCTAAGGATATATTCACTGGTTTTGTGCTCCTAAGGACAGACTCAAGGGAAAAGGCCCAGGCAGGATGTGAAAGGAGGCTCTGTGCTGTTCAGGAGCAGGAAATTTCAAAGTCCCACTGCCCAGAGGATGGGGTGGGCAGGGTGAGAGCTCAGCTAGTCCAATCTCCTTGGCCTCTCAGACCTTTCTTTGTCATCCTATGGGTAAGTGTGGCCAGAATAGGGCTGTCTTTGTTTTGTTTGTTTGTTTGCCCAGGCTGGGCTGAACTCAAGATCCTCCAGCCTCAGTCTCCCAAGTAGCTGGAATTACAGATGCATACTACAATGCCCAGCTTTTCAGAGTAGAGCCTTTTAATTCACAAGTCACAAAGCACAACCTCTCCTACACAGGACTACAGGCAACCCTGGATAATTTACCAAATGGAGACTTTATCAGTCTTGTTACTAGTTAATATACCAGTTGAAAAGCAATATGATTAAGAAGGTAGATAAAACCTGAAATTTTAATATCTAAGCCTATCAGTATGATCAAAGGTTCTAATATTTATCTAGCTCTATCCTATAGACTGAAATCTAGATTCTATTATTCTTTACAAATTCATACAAATATAAAGAATTCTATTCACATGCTGGGGGAACTGAGAAGACAACAAGAAGCAGGAGGAGGAGAATACAGAGTACTGCAGACAAGATCAGACATGCAGATGGACGAGAAAGCATTTCCCCTGTGTTCTGTTGCTTGTGTGGGGAAGCTTACATCATGATTAATCATCAGGTCCAAGTTCAGTATAACAGTGCAGCGAGTTCAGGATCTCGGCTTGCTCTCATTAACACAGATTCATGCAGTTTAGTCTGCGTCCTGATGCCCCTAGCCTAGCCCCTGCCCATGTGGTAGGTCATATCGAGCAGCATCAGCATGTCAGTAGACTGATGACAGCTCTCCCTACACAGAATCTCTTGCTTCACCATAATTTGCTGAACTACAATTTCCACTTAGCATGATTCTGTTACTTTGAAAACCTAGTATATAACTGATCACAATACATATACATACTCCAGGGAAGTATTTCAAGTGGAAATCTTATTTATGTGTACTTACTGAGATTGTACCATTGTCTAGACCTATGGACAGTCTTCTTGTTTCCGGGTTAAAAGACATGCATGAACATGGAGCTGAAAGAAATGAACATGTTGATGAAATTAACAAAACAATGATTTTCATCGATTCAGGAGTGCCTAACTAGCTAACAGTGTTTGGTCATTTCCCCCCACTATTTTCCAAAGTAATTCACTTAACTTGCACTCGCCAAAAATAAAAACAGTAATTTTACAACCAACCCCTAGTTTTTAACGTTGCTCCCTCAATGAATATAACAAATAAAGACTTTCTCAAACTGAGTAAGTTCCAAAGGGTGTGGTGTTGGCCTGTGCTGTCAGGACTGAGTCTACATTTGCTCGACTAGATTAACAATACTTTGTGCTGTGTAAGCCTTCCATCACCACTCTCTCTTCCACTCAGATGCCATCTTAAACAGGAATAGCCTATCATTTCTGAAGTAGGCAGCCAAAAGAAAGATCCTCTAAGCCCCTCCCTCCTTGCCCCCATGCATGCACATACACACGCCAGTATAGAAATGTGTATTTGATCCAGAATTGATATGGATCAAGCACACTAGTAGGACTCCTTTACCCTTGGCATTCAGGAGGCTGCTGGTTGAAAATGACTGCAGATCTATCTCAAGTTCAAAAAGACCCAAGTGAACACAGAGGCTCAGTATTACGGGAAAGAGACAAGGTGAGCAGTACGCCTAGTTCTGGGCTGGAACTCCCTGTTCCATAAGACTGATGGCCCATGTAAATGAATCCCTATGCTCTGGAAGTCTCCTGTGATGAGCAAGCTTTTACTATAGTGAGTTCCAGGTCCCAGCCCCCTTCTCTATCTACGCTTGCTCCTAAGAATGGGGGTCTTCTGACAATTTACCCCATATTGAAAAAGCTGTACTAAAGAGCCCAACACAATGTTTAAATGTCTCCCCTCACTATACTCACAGTAGCCCCATCAATCATCAACTTAGTCGTCATCATTATCATAAACAGCATCAAATAATTTTTAACAAATAACTTTTTGTTATGATTAGATATCTCACCCAAGGTCACACAGAAAAAAAAAAAAGCTGGAGAAGGTTCAAAGACATAATTGAAATAAGCAGTTCCATTTTCAAACACCCAATTTGGATTATCTTGAAACTATAACAGAACTTCAAGTTCTACTGTCAGAGCCACTTCATAAACACATCACTTAGTAACATTTTTTGTTTTCTATAAAAGGGCCTTGAACAAATCAACAACAAAAAGATCTTCTGAACTGCATAAAGAATTACATTTTTCTAATTTCAATAACATGTTCAGAAAATAGGAATGTACAAAAACGAATCTTCTCCCCAAACTTCCTCCAGTACAGCAGACTAACTCTTTTCTGTTTAGCCAAAAAATAAAATTAGATACTTAAAAGTATACTGCTAAAGAAGTAATCAAGTGATAGTCAATGGACTGCCCTAAGGATCCAGTCTGGACCTATAAACTATTGGGCAAAATTTCTGCACAAATACTGAGATGCCAAGTCTCATAATCCTGTATGTGTGAAGAATTAAAACCTAATGATTGCACAGAAAAAAAGCCAGAAGAAAAAACACACTGTTAATACAACTATGTAAACTATACAAGGAAAACCTAAGCATAGTTCTTACATTCAAGAGAAAAGATTATTTCTTTAACATTGTCTTCAATTTTATTATTTTGTTGGTTTTTGTTAAAATTAACTTTAAATATTTAAGGACTTATTAAGATTTAAGCATTAGTATGTGAAGAAAAACTTTGGTTGCAGCCCCTGGGAACTATATACTGGACAAGAACAGCCTTTCTGTTTTGTTGCCCTCTTGACTAATTAAAAGTATTTTCTCAGTGAACTTCTTCAGAGTTCATGTATGGTTATGCATAGTTAAAAACTCCACTCATCGTTGAACATGATTTCAAAGACTTTTTTTTAATAAAACTGCATAACCTACCCTTAAATCTACATTATTTCTTAATTTCTAGTCTTCTCCCCCATGTTACTGAACAAAAATTTAGAATGCTTACTATGTTCCAGGCAAGCAATACAATGGTATCAATTTTATATAAGGTATCACAATTGCCATCAAGGAATTTATAAATTGTGATACCAACCACATACAGGAACTGTAAAACTCAATTTCACCTCTTTGGTATAAATCATTTTATATATCACTACCAGAATTTAAAGGCAAAAGGCCTTTCCTACAAAAGAATTTAAAAGAAATTTTAACAAGTGTTGTTGTTCTATACCTCATGTCTGAACCCAAAATGGCTTGGAGCGGAGTGCACCAGAGCTACATAAGGCATTAGCTCCAAGAAGCCTCCAAGTGCACAGCACAGCTGCCATTCAAAGAGAAACACCAGACAATCGCTCTGTGTGTATGTAATCATCACAGAGGTCACCAAAACTTTACAGAAAAGCCACCTCTGAAAGAAAAGTACTGTGGCCCATACAAAATGGGCTCCTGGCTATGCAAGACAATTATCAAAGGTGCAAAACTGTCTGGGGAAGGTAATGAGACACAGTAAAGGTAAAAATGGCCAAACAGTAAAGGAAATCTTTAGCATGGAGATTGGGGGAAGACAAAATACAGCTTAGGCACAATACTTGTTATTGGGTTGCAAAATATGATGCTTCAGAAATAAGAACTCTGCTTTAAATGCTGTTGAACTATTAAGTCGTCAAGCAATAAAGAAATGCTCTGTTTGACTCCTGGCTGAATCAGGTTAAGGATGAACTGGCTGGGCAACTGTTTTATTCTCCCATCTTAAAACTGCCTTCTTCAGGCCAGGAGTGGTAGCCCAAGCCTATAATACTAGCTACTTGGAAGATAGAAATTGGCAGAATCACCATACAAGCCAGCCTAGGCAAAAAGTTTGCAAGACCCCCATCTCAACCAGTGGCTGGGCATGGTGGCACAAGCAGAAGGACGGCGATCCAGAAGAGCCAGAATATAAGAAAGATCCTATGTCAAAAATCACCAGAACAAAATGGGCTGGCTGCATAGCTCCAGTGGCAGAGCACCTGCCTACTAAGCTGAGGCCCTGAGTTCAAACCCCACTACCACCCTCCTAAAAAAAAAAAAAAAAAACCCTCCCCCAAACCCAAAAAAACTGTTTTCCCCAAAGACTGAAGTGGCTGGCCAGAACTATAAAATTGCAGTGCAAGATCCTTCTACTGACTTCCTCTTTCAAAACTGCAATGGTAAGCTGTAGATGAAATAAATACAGCATGATACAAAATGTGAAGATACACCTTCTACCACACACACACACACACACACACACACACACACACACACACAGCTTCTTGTGACAAAAGGATAAAATCATACTGAGTCAGCTTTGCCAAATCCTCTCACATTTTCATATTATATGTAGTTGGCCTGAGATTGCCCCTATGCTATCTGAAAAACTGAAATTCAAGGTCTTGCCACTGGCCTAATTGACATTATATTACAACTTTTTACTTCCCCTCAACCCTTTTATTTAAGTGTAGGAGAGAAATGACTGGTTTCTTGAGAAAATAATACAGAACTCATTTTTCACACTATGTGACTAAGATATGGCACTTACCTACAGAAATGTCTCATACTAATGACAAAAAAAACGTATACTGGGGAAGACAATGAAAGGTACAAATAGGATAGAAAAGAAATTTGTTCTGGTCTATGGATAATGAGACCTCTTACTCTCTCATATTAGTATTAGCAATTTTTTTTTCATTGTTGTTTTGAGATGCTGGGGATGGAACCCAGGACCTCACACATGCTAGACGAGTGTTCTACCACTGTGCTATATATCCCCAGTCCACGGTTTTGTTAATAACAGGACTTTAGACCTTCATAGTCTGTCATGAAATCTTTATAATTTAAGACAGACATTCAGCATTAAGTTCAGGAAAAATTAAAATAAGGAAATGCCCCAACCTGGGTGGTTATATTAATGACCATACAATTTGAAAAGGGCTCAAGAGATATGAGTCCTAGACAAAGGAGACTCAAGACACCAACACCAACCTCAACAAGTCAATAATTAAATGAATTAAAGAAAAAGCAGCTGCTTGTATTTCTAATATTGTTCTCCCACAACTGGTATCAAAAAGACCATGCCCTAAAAAAAAAAATAAATAAAAATAAAAAAGCATAGCTGAGAGGAAGCATTCTCAAAATATCTGTATTTTGTGGAAAATTTCCTAAGCTCTGTTACTGACACCTATACTTCTTTCATTTATGCCTAATTTATTTTCTGTTCTTTACTGGCTGTTTGAACTTTGATCAAATAAACACAAATTTCAGCCCTGGCTTTCAATCACACTGACTGCTTTACAATGCTAATGGCATTATTTGGCAAGAGACACTAATTTTCCCCATGAGATGTTCTAGTTGGAACTTTAAATCTAAATAAACAACAGAACTTCTGGGAATAAAACATGAGGTGTTAAAGGCATCATGAAGTTAAATGTCAGGATCCCACAATAAGGGGAACTTCAGTAGAGCCTCCAGTGAAAAATATACCTCCCAAAAGCAAAGATTTGACACTATTTCATTCGGCCTTATATGTTTTGGGATAATATTACATTTGTAGTACTCAAACTTTTTGGGGGGGAGGGGTAGTATTGGGACTTGAACTCAGGACCTCATACTTGCTAGGCAAGCGCCCTACCATTTAAGTCATGCCCCTAGTCCAACCCATGCTTTATTTCATTAAGTACATATGTGTTTTGATGACTTTGTTATCCAGCATTTTTCATTTAAATCAAACATCGGATGTACTCTACTAAAGTTAACCATCATGCTAAGTAACATCACAAAGTTATAATCATCTAGAAATGGTCATTTTTGTTTCTTCCAGACAGGTTTTTTTTGTTTTGGAACAGTTTCTCCCTATGTTGCACAGGCTAGTGTTGAACTCCTGGACTCAAGAGATCTTCCCACCTCAGCCTGCTGAGTGCTTGGACTATTGACATCACACATGGTTCTAGACAAATTTGAAGTTATATTCAACTGATCTTACTACAGTAAATTTTAAAATGTTGTCAGATGAAAATCAAACAGGAG